AAAAGATAAACACTGTTTCCAGTTTTATTTTTTTCAGTTCGGCACAGTTATGATCCACCAAAAAGGAGCCTTCTCACTAGTCTCAGAGCTGTTATTACCATGCAAACTCCTGGGCAGATCCATTAAGAGACCAAAGAGCAGGCTTCCATTTGCAGAGAGAAACTCTTTCCCTTTTCCATTTACACTTCGGGATCAGAGCCTGACACCGAATCCCCTTTGTAACAAGGGGCTGTCCAGCACCTGTACAGCAGGCAAAGAGATCAAAGACACAGCAGGGGGAAGTCTGGCCCTACAGCCCAGAAAGCATAGAGAGCAGCATTTGGGTCACCAGGTGGAGCATTTCAAATTCTTGGATCAAGGGATCATTTTTAATTGCTTTTGGGGGGAGGCCCCAACCTCCTCTCACCCCAGACCTCAGACACCCCCTATTGCAGCAACCCTCCCACAAGCTAAAGAGCCAGTTGTCATGAAAGGGTGAGGCCTCAGTGATGCCCAGTGAAGACAAAGGCAGACGGATCCCCAGTTACCAGGTTCCTTGGTCACAGTTCCCTAATCATTCTCCTAAGGCTCATGCACACACAACCTAACCGGCTGCAACCGCATCCTCCAGAGGATAGCTTGTTCCTCCCAAGGCCTCTGAAGTTGAGACAAGCCTCAGGCTTCACAAATGAGTCACCCGACAAGGATCTGCTCAACTCAACAAACTGCTTCAGCTATTTCTGTGCACTTCCTGTTGATTGAAGAAGCCCAGGGCACGATCCCTCTTAACGGGGCAATGCACAACACCCTGCAACGATTGGCTGCATTGTTAATATAATTATAACATAAGCATTATTAACAAATAACAACATGAGATTCAACTTGGAAGAGTGCATCTGGGGAAAAGAATCGGATGCCCCAGACACGCAGGGGGAGGGACAAGCCTGGGAAGCAGTGATGGCCAGACGAGGGGGGTGATAGGGGATAGCAAATTAGGCATGAGTTTGCAATGGGATGTAGTAGCAGCAAGAGTCCAGTGAAATTTGGGGTGGCACATGCAGAGCCATCGTGTAATGCAGCAGGGGCTACATCTGGAAGAGTGAATTAATTGCTGGCCACCGCATCACCAGAATGATACCGACAAACTGTAGGGAGTTCAACAAAATGCAGCTACCATTATAAGGGAGCTGAGGGCACCGGGGCTGGATCAAGGCCCAGGTACCACAGGCTCATGCCAAAGGCCCCAGCTCCTGATGAGATCAGAATCTCAGTTTTCATCTTAAAAGAATTGTGTTTCTAACCCTCATAGACACAAAGAAAGCCTGAAAACAAGGTGTGAGTGTAACCTGAGTTTGCAGAGAGCCTGAAACAATAGCTCCAAGAGGTGTACACTGCCCTATTCATCTTAACTCTGAAACCTGCTACCACACCAGAAGGGGCAGGGCCACAGCCTGGGGGAGGGCCATATGGGACCTCAGCGTGGGACGGCCCTAGGGTCCTGGATTGCCTTATCTCAGCCCTAGGAGGGACTGATATATAAAATGAGATTAAGGCTAGGGTGACCAGACAGCAAGTGTGAAAAATCAGGATGGGGGGTAATAGGAGCCTATATAAGAAAAAGACCCAAAAATCAGGACTGTCCCTATAAAATCGGGACATCTGGTCACCCTAATTAAGGCTCAGATTGTGACTAGTGCCTGGGGTTGTGGGGGAAGGGCATGAGGAGCCTTCCCCACCCACCGCTGCACTGTGAGTGGAGAGCGTAGGCCAGTGCCAGGCTCACCCCAATGGTGGCACCAGCCACTCCAGCGGGGGAAGGGATGAGGAGAGGGCAGGAGAGCGGCCTCCCCCACGCCTCACTGGCCAGCAGCGCTGAGGAAAGTGCACTCCGCATCCTTTCAGGGGGGAAGGGGCTGCTTAAAATGCCTCTTGAGGGTCTCTTGGGCTCCCATTGGGCTGTGCTTTGAAGGCCCAACCCAGCTCTGGAAGTGCGACATCTCTGTCACTTGGCTGGGGGGGTTGGGGCACATCTGAAGGGTGGAAACAGCCAGGAGAGGGGTTAGGGTGGCACAAGAGAGTGTGATTGGGAGCAATGGGGTGGGGTTAAGGAGGCTGAATAGCAGCAAAGCCTTCCTGCCAGAGAGATCTACCAGTCGGCCCCGGGGCGTGGCAGAAGCTCTGTTGCATGGGACTGTGAAACGTACGTTGGGCAAAGCCCTCGCAGGTGGTCTGGAGGGGACAATCCTGGCCCTGCCCCCGGGCGAGGGGCTGGGTGTTCTAACAGGCCTCTCCCGTCCCCAATTTCTGTGAGGAGCGAGGCCCCAATGCAGAAGGGAGGGGCCGCTTCCTGTGGGAGTCGGACCCGTCAACTGCTGACCCGGTCAAGCCCAATATCGTCGTCATTGGTAGTGCGGTGGCAGCTAAGATCGGGTCCCGAGGGCGCCAGGCACTGAGCAGAGAGACACGGTTCTGCCAACCTCGAGAGATCAGAAATCATGAGACAGGCCCCCCAAAATCACAAGATCGACCCCAAATATCATGAGATTGGTTGACAAAATCATGAGGGTTTTTTCCCCCCAAGAGACTAGACGGTGTTTTTTAGTTTGTCTGTTTATTGCTGCACTCCGCTGCCCGGCCCCAGCACGTGCGGGTCACACTCAGTGTCGCCCTCTCTCCCGAATGTATCTGCTGAGTGATTTGGGTCCCATCTGCCTGTCCCCTGCCCAGCAATTTATTCTGCTCCTGCCCAGCCTCTCTCATCACTGCAGCCCCCCAGCCTCCTCTCTGCTCCTGAGGCGCTTCACTCCCTTCTCCCAGGCCTGGAGGGGGCTGCGGCAGGGTCCCCTCTCTCCCTTCCAGGCTGGGGGGGGCAGCTCCAGGACCTCTTCACCCCTTCTGCCCCCTCCCAGGCCAGGTGCTGCAGGGAGCAGGTGCAGAAGAACCATCTCCCATTGCTCACAGCAGGGGAGGAGGGAGCAGAACTGCCCTGAGCAGGTGGGTTCTTTATCTCTCCCCTCCCAGCCTAGGAGAATGGCTTTGGGGCGCTCAGGGGAAAGACAGCTCTTCCTACAGGAGCTAGGATTGGTTGCTCAGCCCCAGGAGGTGGAGCAAGTGGGGGGCGCAGCCAATCAGAGGCAGATTTCCGCCAGGCAGGGCTACATTGGCCAGAGGGTTGGATCATCTCTGGTCATTACAAAACGGGCGCTGGCCTCGGCTGAAATCCCATCCCTGAGAGAGCTGGCCGCACGGGAGATGGGCTCTGCCCCAAAGAGCTTAAGTCCTAAGTAAACGAAGCGTGGGAGGGGAAACAGAGGCACGGGGAAGGGGCGTGATTGGCCTAAGAGGACACAGCAAGCATGGCAGAGCCAGGATTAAACCAGTAATAAGCAGAGACAGGCCCGCACCAGAAGTCCAGATCCGAACTCTCCTGAACTCTGGGGAGGGTCAGAGTCAAACCCAAACCCAGCTCCAGGTTTCCCACGGGGTGGTTTCTGTAGCAGGAACCCCAAATCCATTCCAGATGCCCTGAAATGGAGGATGCCCATGCAGGCCTCTCTCCGGCAATAGCACGGGGCCGGGGAAGAGTTTCGTTCCATTCCAGGGGCTAGAGGCTGTGCAGAAATCAACATGGGCGTTGCTGTGAGTTTCTCTCTGCTAACCCGCCCTCTGGGGGCCTGGGTTTTGTTCCAGGGGCACAGCATCCATGAAGCATGAAGGGAAAGAGGGCTGCAGCAGGCAAGCAGGAGCAGAGAGCCGGCCAGCTGTGGCAAGAGGGCGGGAGGAGAAGAGGAGGAGGAGGAAAGGAGATGGCCCGGCCTCCTTCTCTGCCTTCATTGCATGGCTCCGGAAAGGAAGTGGAAAGTGGAAAAGCAGAGTCAGGAATGAATGTGCTGCCCCAGCCTCTGGCCACACCCCGCTCTGCCTGGGTAGGAGAGACGGTGCCTGGACTCGCAGCCAAAGAGCCACTATTTCCCCACCCACGGTGCTTCCAAAAGAGCTCTCGGCCACAGGCACTTCACTGCCGCTAAGAGAGTTAGTCCCCATTCGTGTCCCTGGCTGTCCCTTTGCATTAGAACAGGCCAAGCTGCACTGCTGCATCCAAATGACTCAGTGTCCAGGTTGCCATGCTGCTGGGGTGTGGAACAGGATCTAGCTATCCCCAACGCTGGGGGAGGATCGGGTCTACCGGCCTCTGCTTCTAATGAACCCTAAACCAAACACCTCTCCATTTCCAATCCAGTTTGGAGTGGCCAAGCAGCGAGAGCAGAGACAGCCCCCTGCACAAAGAGCCCTCCCCATGCTGCACCGAAGTCAATGGGGTTTACTCATGGGGGTTGTAGGAATTTGCTCTTGACCTGCAGCACCCCTGTTATTACACTCTTAGGGGAGAAACACACCCCAGCCCTGCCAGTGCACATCTCCTGGCTGCAGCACCCCCTGCTATTCCAGTCTGGGGGTGCCCACAGACCGCTCCTCCGATGCATCTCAGTCCTGACCTGCAGCCCCCTTGCATCCACCTTTCAGACTCAGGCAGCCAGTTGTAGTGGACTGTGTGAGGCTATAACTCTTCTCTCCAGAGGTGCCTGGCTCTGGCATTCTCCTTACTATGCCAGGGAACCCCAGTTAGAGCGTCCTCGAGCAGATCTTTCCCAGGGCTCCGAGCAAGCAGTCTCCTTGGGGGCAGTGATGAAGAGAGCTCCAGACACGCCCCAGACAGCTGCACGCCACATTTCCCTCCACAGCCTGCCGCTGCCCTGCCATCTCACTCTGGTTTGGGGGCGGATTATGCATTTTTTCCACTAACTAGTTTTTGTGCCTTTTTTTTTTTCTTTTAAAGGCACAATGTTTTCTTTGAAACAGACAGAAAGTAACTGGCCTTTTGCTGCCTGTACAAGCCCCACCCTGATGCGAGGCGGAGACTTTTCCCTCCCATCACAAAACATCTACCAACAGAGGACCCCTTGGCACACAGAAAGGAAGTTGCTGAAAATAAACGCTACTTGGAACCGTTTTAACTTCTTGCACCGGCACTTTCTGAGCTGGATTCCCACTCCCCTCCTCCCCCTGCACTTGGAGTGTAGCCGAGAAGGCTCTGAAAACGGATTTAACAACCCCTTAAGTAAGTGGCTTAGTTTTCTTCTTATCTTTACATTTGTTCTGGGGGTAGCACGGAAATAGAGGCTGCTTACAAATAAGCACATGCCCCATCCTCACTGGGAATGAAACCCATTAGCGATGGGAGACTTCTCCCCGAGGATGGAGCATTCCTGTTTGTTACCCAATCTTAGTTTTGCTTGGCCTGTTGCTAGCTCCAGCCCTTGAAAGGAAGGGTCGCATGGTTTTGGTTTTGTGCAATCGTTCTGTGTTCCCCTGAATAACGGTCCTGGATTTGTATCATCCCATTTCAGGTCTAGAGTCTTTGAGGAACACTGCACAACACGAACGTTAAGGCAGTCGAGATCATGAGTCTGATTCTTCACTCTAGTGTAAGTCCGTTGATCAGTGAGTTTGACTGGTGTAAAACTGCGGTACTGCAGTAGGGAATTAGGGCCCTAGTTTTTCGTGTTTAAACCCATAGTGACGCATTGTGAACTAGTGATCTCAGGCATCAGGTTGGACTAACTCCCTGCCATAATCTCACTAGGATCAGCTCAGTCTTCCGGGGCCCTGTAAACTAAGTACCAGATGTGTGTGGGCCTTTCACAGGAGACCTTAAAAACTGGGTTCCCTTTATCTGATTGGCCTGAACATGAAAGAGCCCCTGCTACTTTTCAGAGAAGTTGGGGTTTCCATGGCACCAATTTTATGTTTGCTGTAAACATGCAGGATGCAGGACTGGCCCTTTCACAAAAGTCGTAGCTAGAGCTCTATCCAGGTGGCACTTGATCATGCCCCTTTGGGGTCTGCCATGATTAGGAGGAGGATGGGTTTCCACAGCCAGCCCCCAGAGGGCTGTGTGCCATTCAGGAGACGCAGAAGGCTCTGGTGTAGGTATTGATACAAACTCCAGGGCAGGTTCACCAGCCTCTCAGATGGGCCTTTGTCAAAGCTCTAGCCGCAGTGAGGTGAATCATCTCCCACCTGAAACCTTGGTGCTCGATGGGTTTGGCTGAGGTTCATGTCAGTTAAACCTGGAGGGCGAAGTGAAGTCCAAGGGATTGAGGAACCCAGCCTGATGAACCAGAACTGCTGCCCTTTCACACAGCTCCCCGCCCATTTCCCCCTGCAAAGGTGGCTGCACTTTAGTGCTGCTGGGCTATATGAGGAGCAGTGTTGCCTAGTGGATAAAGCACTCAGGAGACTTGGGTTCTATTCCTGGCTCTGCCACTGATTGCTGGGTGACCTTAGGCAAGTCACTTTGCCTCCCTCTGCCTCAGTGTCACCATTTGTAAAATGGGGGTAATGATACTGACCTCCTTTGTAAAGCGCTTTGCAATCTACTGATGATAAGAGCTAGGTGATAAAATTATATGTATTCCAGGCTCCCATCCTACAAGCCCACTGAAATCAAGAGGTTTCCTTGTCTGAGGGCTGCAGGATGGGGCCCATAACTAGCGAAGTGCTTTGGGATCCCCAGAAATGATAGGTGCAATGCTATTCTGGTGTAAGGAGCACAGAGGTGAAACCACGCAAGCTGCTTGGGAGTGTCCTGCGATGGGATTTCACTCGGCTCAGCATGAAGGCTGGTGCCTTGTCCCAGAATCTAAGCTGGGCCCTATTGCACGGCAGCCAGGCGGTGAGAGTAGGAAGCAGGTGGTAACTAAGCCCCGGCTTGTGGGTGAGTGTAGGGCTGATGCAGCTGCATCGATACAAACCCTATGTACCGATGTGCTCTCCTAGCGGTGCTACACTGCACACCCGCGGATTGACTTTTTGGTGAAGACAGACAGAGCCCTGGGAGATTTGCTGCTACCAGAACCCCTGGCTTCGTTATCGTTCCATTCTCCAAACACCAGAGCGACTCGCTTTGGTTTCTGGGGAGTGCAGCTCAACGGGCCGTTCCTGTATGAATGAATACTGTCATCAGACCGGTCAGCAGAGGGCCGTCCATTGCTCTCTATGCACATCACCACATCACACAGGAAATCTGAGCTACACTAAGGGCTTATCTTCGCTGCATCAGTTAGCTCAAGTTACTGCACTCCGGTGAGCCTAGTGAGAGAGACCACACTGGCAGCACAGAGTGACTGGATTAGCTGCAGATGAGTTGCCGTTGCATCCCCATTATTAGCTTGAGCATCAGCAAGTTGCAACAATGGAGCTTCAACCCATCCCTTCTGGCAGGCGAGCTAGCTCCCGTTTAAAGCCCCACTTCACTTGGAGCTAGAGATTGTTGTGTGTGGATGCGGGGCAAGTTAGGGGTAATTTTCAAGTATAACTGGAGCTAGCTATGCTGTGAAGACACACCCTAAGACATTGAGGGTGTCTATGCTACACGGTAAACTCAGATTTAGTAGAGCTCGAGTTAGCAGACTTGGGGTTGTTAGCCTAGGGCTTGAGCGTCTACACTCATTGGTAACCCCAGGTTAGGAATTGTTGAACCCTGGGTCCCAACTTGGGGGTCCAGCATCTACACTGCCTTATGAGGACCTGATCCACAACCCATATCCCAGAGTTCCTAGCGCCCTCCCACAATGTGGCAGCTCTAGCCCTTTGTTCATGGTGCAGTATGGGAAAACTTGACTGTCCTCCAAACTTGACTTGGGATTATGGGATACTTTTGGTGGACTCCCAGAACATGTGTCCAATGGAGCTGCATCTACACCACAAAGGAATAGGACTTGAATCCTGGGTCCTGGCTTGACCCAGGCTCAGACCCTCCAATCCGATTAGTGCGATTTGTGTGTAGATGGAAAGGAGGTTAGGCTTGAGCCTGAATTTGAATCCTGGCCTTACATCGCAGTGTGGACGTACCCGGAATGATAGTATGGAATGATAAAGCTCATGCCAGTCTGCTAAGGAAGGTAAGGAAGGCTTGACTGGCCTCTCATAGGGTGGGAGAGAAGAGGCAGCCAGTCAGAAAGAGAGAGTCAGAGGCAACAGGTTTTTTTTTTTAGTAATCATCTCTGGCAGATACTGTTTTGAGGAACTCAATGGGAAATGGAAAAGTCTGAGGTTTTCCTTCTAGCTCAAGTTTACTCCCTCAGCAATCCCTTCTGCTCCTTGTTTCTCACTGTCATTTGAAAAATACTTTTCACTCAATAATGTTCATGGATAGATAAGTGAGTGTTAACTCTGAACCCTAACGATGAAACTTAAAGTGTCAATATTATTAACTATTTCACTGTGAATCATTGTAGACAGAATGTGTCACTGCTCTGAGATTGAGGGTGGGGTTTGGGTACTAATATTCCAACTCCAAACGTGAGTAAGAGAGCAGAGCTGTGAACTCTGGAGTGTGGATGAAGGAGTGAATTCAGTGAGGAAGGATGGTCCACTGGTTAGGGCACTTGCCTAGCACTTGGGAGAGCCAGGGTCAAGTCCCTGCTCGGCCACAGACTTTTGGTGTGAACTTGGGCAAGTCACTTAGCTCTCTGTGCTTCATATATTAAAGATTGAAAGCTGCTCTGTTACTATGGAGATAGGGGCCACATAAGTACCGTACCATACAATTTCAACTGTGTCTAACAATCTTGCCAAAGCACAATTTAAATTTGGTTGTGGTTCAGTAGGATCCTCAGGTACTTTGGCTAGCTAGTGGGGGTGGGGCCGAAGTTGGCATATGGACTTCTCCAAATGAACTGGCCTTCCTGGGGTAGCTCTCGTTTCGCAGGTGCTGGCCAAGGCTCTGGTCACCTTTAAAAATGTGCCAGATTGTGACCATTCGCCAGATATGGCCTACAAAGGGAGCAGCTCACCAGAGGCTGTTCCTCTCTCTCCCCCTTTCTCAGGGCCACAGGCCAAAGGGGAGGGTGTAGCAAAGTGGGGGACAGCTACCATCCCCTGGAGCTGCTCCACTCCCATTTACAAAGTGATCCCTAGCTGAGTCTGATGCCAGGAAGCAGAGAACCTGGCTGATGTGGAGCCAGGTCCATCCCACCAGCCAGACCACCTACCTACTTCTCTAGACTCCCACTGTGACCCCCTACTCCAGTTGGGTATGACAGCACCCAATTACGAGTTCCCGCAGAGTCGCCAGGCGAGATCTCTGGGAAGCGGGGCAGCCATCAGGGAGAAGGGTGGGGGTGCAGCGCCCTATTGCCGCCTCTCGAATATTGGCTCTATGATTCACATTTCTCAGTGCTGTTATTGTCGTTGTAGCCAGCGTGAGGTGAGAGGACCCAGACTGCTGTAGGCATCTCCTAGTGGATGCTCCATCCAAGATGGCTGCCCTCATCACTGAAAACTTCCGCTTCCTTTCTCTGTTCTTCAAAAGCAAAGATGTGATGATCTTCAATGGCCTGGTGGCCCTGGGCACGGTGGGCAGCCAGGAACTCTTCTCTGTGGTCGCCTTCCACTGCCCCTGTTCTCCGGCCAGGAACTACATCTATGGACTTGCTGCCATCGGAGTCCCAGCCCTGGCCCTGTTCCTCATCGGCGTCATCTGGAACAACCACACCTGGAATTTGGTGGCCGAGTGCCACAAGAGGGGGGCCAAGAACTTCTCGGCCGCAGCCACCTTCCTGCTCTTTGGCTCCATCATAGGCCGGGCTGCCGTGGCCCCTGTCACCTGGTCGGTCATCTCACTGCTCCGCGGAGAAGCCTACGTCTGTGCCCTCAGTGAATTTGTGGATCCTGCCTCCCTAGATAAATTTCCAGCCAGCTATGGACCGGAGACCCTGGCCAGGTTCCCTTGTAAGGACATTCCCGGGAACTTGACAAGTTTTAAGGAAGAAGTTATAAGAAGACTAAGATACGAGTCGCAGGTATTGATTGACTTGTATGTCTGGGTGTGGAAGGAGTGTTGACAAGGGGTTAGAGGAGACTGGGAGCCAGGTCTCCTGTGTACTATTTCTGGCTCAGGATGAGTGTGTTGTGTTGGAGTCAGAGAAGGAGACTAGGAGCCAAGACTCCAAGGCTCAGAGACAGAAATTGAAATCCTGGCCCCATTGAAGTCAATGCGAGTTTTGCTATTTACTTAATTGAAGCCAGGATATTACACAGTGTTGTCTAGTGGTTAGAGCAGGACACCTGGGCTGTATTCCTGACTCCCGGGAAAGTTACTTTCCCCCTCTGTGCCCCATTATCCTCCTCTCTCTCAGGGAAATAATACTCACTTTCCCCTCTGGGGCTTAGCCTACGTACCAATAAATTCTCACTGAAACTGCAACACTGGGAAGCCAAGACAAGCAAAATGGGGAAAGCGGCCCTGACACACCCAGCGCTGCTCTGAGCTGCGACAGGGCAGGATGCCACTCCTGTCTCTGTTCAAGCACCAAACCGCTCAGAGCGCCGTAGTTACAATATCGTACACTCCTTAACTCACTCGGCCAAGGAGTGGGGAGACAGAAGGCATCTTCCCCATCGGAAGTGGGGGGTGAGGGGCTCCACCTCCTCGAGCACACATCCTTCCTGTGCCTTTTCTACTTTCTGGACTGAGTTAATTACCCCTGTAGCTTTCTCCTCAGTCTATCACTTAGGCACAGCTTTGCCCCTCCGGTTTCCTCTGGGGTGATTTAATTGATGTTCCCATGATCAGAGTGCTGGTAGAGCTGCTGTTGCCCAGCACTCTGGCACAGAAGCCCACGTCCTATGCCTGCGAGCACCACGCGTTCAGAAATCTGGAGTGAATTACACCTACTCTGAGGTGCGAGTTGGCCCAGGCTTAGCTACCAGAAACCGGTACAGTTTTTACATTAAGAATCTGCTTTGGGGGAAAATTTGCTTTTAAGACACATGTTCATGGCTTTGTGAGGACCTACCCTCCCCCCCGCCCCCAAAAGCAGCATTTGTTAGGTGCAAGAGGACAATACATTATCCAGACACCGGGAGATCAGTTCTCAGAACCAACTCCACATCAGCTAACCCAGGGCTTGGCAGTACCATGTTGGATCTGAGTTAGACTAGTCTGTTCACTCTGCAGTGATCCCCCTGTGGCCCAGTCAGAAGCAGAAGTGATGGGGGTGTCCCTGAATTAGAATAGAACAGAGGTTCTCACACTGGGGGTTGGGACCCCTCAGGGGGTCATGAGGTTATTACATGGGGGGTCACGAGCTGTCAGTCTCCACCCCAAACCCCGCTTTGCCTCCAGCATTTATAATGGCGTTAAATATATAAAAAAGCGTTTTTAATTTATAAGGGGGGTTGCACTCCGAGGCTTGCTATGTGAAAGGGGTCACCAGTACAAAAGTCTGAGAACTACTGGAATAGAAGGAGTTGCCCAGGGTGCATTGGCCAAGCTGTGAGGGGTTCCAAGTCTGGAGTAGATGGGGACGGGGCAGATCAGGACTGAGGTTCATCAGCTGAGCTGTCTTGGCTCCAGTCTGGAAGAGCAGGAACTGTTGCCGGTCAGGACTGAAGGGCATTGGCAGAGGATTGCTGGGAATCTCACACAGCACCTGGATCTGCCTATGCTCTAGTCAGCGCGATCAGTACTGCATCACGTTCACAGAGACACGAACAAAGAATCCAAGTGCTGGTGTCCTCCTGAGCCAGCATGAAACGGGGCAGGTTCTTTAATCGGAGCTCGGACTGATGAGCTGTTCTGATGTAGCCCTCTCTGTCTCTTTCTCAGCTCTTTGGATGGCTGCTCATTGGGGTCATCGCAGTCTTGGTTTTCCTCACCAAGTGCCTGAAGCACTGCTGCTCGCCGCTCAGCTACCGGCAAGAGGGCTACTGGTCCCAGTACCGCTCTAGCGAGGCCAAGCTCTTCGAGCGCACCGCCGAAGTTCACTCCAAGATCCTGGCTGCCAACAACGTCAAGCAGTTCTTCGGCTTCGTGGCTCTGAATAAGGAGGAGAAGGAGCTAGTGCAGGAGTTCCCAGTGGAGGGCGTCCAGCCAAGCCCGCAGTGGAACGCCATCACCGGGGTCTATATCTACCGGGAAAATAAGGGCTTCCCACTCTACAGCCGGCTCCATAAGTGGGCCAAAGGGGTGGAGGGGAACTGGTCAGGGCCTGATGGTCAGGAAATGGTCTTCCTAGCCACATAAGAGAACCAGCAGCCCAGGGGGATGACAGAACCAGTTCCCCACACCATCTTTATGATATGGAGATATACCTATCTCAGAGAACTTGAAGGGACCTTGAAAGGTCATCGAGTCCAGTCCCCTGCCTTCACAGCAGGACCAAGTACTGTCCCTGACAGATTTTTTTTTTTTGCCCCAGATCCCTAAATGGCCCCCACAACCCTGGGTTTAGCAGGCCAATGCTCAAACCACTGAGCTATCCCTCCCCCGCAGACTTTCCCCATCAGACTTTGCTTCACTGTATGTTCAAATAGGTAAAAACAGCACAGGAGCCTGGCTAGTCGCTTTGCTGCTAATTCTCCTCCAAACAGCTGTTCCTCCTGGGCACAGCAAGGGAGGAAGGATGAACGGCTTCAGGATAACGACCAACCGCATCATGCCAGGAACTAGTCTCTAAGACACAACCGTGCACTGCTGCTCCCACCCAGAGGACATGGCACCTAAAGCAGGTACGTGCACCTTGTCTCCAGACTATCAGTGCTGCAGCCCTACTGTTCTGAGGCACAGACCGAGCCCCCAGGTCCTGCGTACACAAAGACATGTATCTGGTTTCCCATCTTTAACAACACACTGCCAGGGTTTCCCCATCTCAGCTACGAATGCTGCAGCCTCTTTGCTCTCCTTCATTTCAGGGTCAGGACAAGACCACCCAGCACAACTGCCTATTTTATTATACACGGCTGCTACTCTGAAACCTATTTTATTAAGACTTTATCTTGCAGTTCTATAGCATAAAGAAATTCCCAGGGCACCTGATGGGCAGCTGCATGTGGGGTGGAACACAACAGCAGTCCATCAATGCACAGAAAAACTCCAGAATCTAAGGGTTTGTCTACAAGAGGGAAGGGAGGGGGCGGTATGCCCTAACTTGGATTGGCGCACATTGCAATGACCTGCATTCACACAATGCAGACACTGAAAGCACAGTAGCGCCATAGCTAAAGGGTACAAAGTTCACCAGGCACTGAGTTCATACAAAACCCATGTTCATGTACGCATGTTGTTCATTCACACTATTTTGGCAGTCCTCTAAGTGCCATCCCACACTGCTTTGCATGTCCCCAGGATTGACCTGTCAGTTTCCCTAGGTATCCTCCCCCTCCACTTCTCTGGGGTCAAGTTGACCTGATGCCAGCAAGTAGGCCACTGATATTGCACAGGGAAATTTAATGAAGTGGAATGCAATTACCCAATTGGAAACTGGCCAGGATACCAAACACCCTTTTTCATGAGCACAAATGGGCGTCAACTTGGTTTTGTGTGTCTGGAAGACAGCACCGTCAGCAGACCTGCATTCTGCTGAGCTGGCTTGGGACACGTTGAGTCACCATCACCACTTCCTGGAGCACCTTGGGCTTCTCATCCAAGCACTGACCAGCTTCGCCCCTGCTTAGGGTCTGAGACATGGCAAGCTCATAATCAGACTTAGTTACAGTGCACACTCTTCATGCTTAATTGTATCAGTTAAGCATCTTTCTCCTAACTGGAAGGAGACCAGAAACCAGCCAGCCAAAAGACTGCATTATGAGCACGTCTTGTGCCTGTAGAGACTGAGGTTTGCACTGATTGGAAGCAGTGGGATTCAGCCATGGGAAGCAGTGACCACTCCTCCCTTCCTTCATTGGGCTTTTTAAACTGTTTCCACTGCCTTAGATGGCTCCTGAACGAGGTCCTCGCGGATTCTCTCTCAAGAACTAAGTTCCACTCTGAGAAACGGAGAGAGGGGAGGTTTAAATGTACCACTGTCATTGCACTATTGTGTCGTCCACTGGCTGGAGACTTGATTTGCGTTTATAGCACTGCACCATTCACCTGTCTCTAATTGCATGTTGAATTAGATACACACAAAATTGTCCCTATTTTAATGGTTGACAGCACATTGAAGTTGGCTTTTCTTATTTATAATGCTCCTCGTTTTTATGCACTTTTGCTATGCCTTTCATGGTACTGTCAATCCCAAGTGTACAAAGATCATGAGTCAGGCACTTCAAACTCATGCGACTCAATTAAAAATTGAGGTTTTTTAAAAAAATAAATAAATAAATTTGAATTCTTTTTCTTTGCATTCTGATTTCTGAACGTTTTGGGTGCAGTTGGGTCAAAGAAAAGTTTGAAAATGTGAACACGAGGGCCAGAACTTACTTTGTTTTTTTAAATTAAAGTTCCGATTCTGTCATGCTCACACAACTCCAGGAGTTGACGGTTTAAGCAGACCACCAACGATCAGGGCCGGCTCTAGGTTTTTTGCTGCCCCAAGCTCAGAAAGCGCAACTGTCCAAGCAAAAAAACCTCACAAAAACAAAAACACCCCTTCGGGAGCGCAACAGCCCAGAATGCCGCTCCTGGAATTGTGGTGCTTGCTTTGCTGGTGCCTAGAGCCGGTCCTACCAACTATCAGGAGAGTTGGTGATATTGTTGCACTGATTTGGGTGCAGGTTTTACAGAGGATCGATGCAGTGGGTGAAGGAAGGACCAGATCCTGCTCTGTCACTGTGCTCTCTTGTGAGTAAGAGAGCAGGAGCACGGCTAGCAATTGGAAAGGGGCTAGTGCTAATACACGTAGGTTGTCATTGCTATACATCACATGCTGGCAGGAAGAGAAGTGAGGGCAGCCCCTTCGCTAAGGTGTTTGAGTTGGGTTTTTTAGTTCTCCTTCAGGGTGCAGACATTCTATGCAGCTCTCCGAGGAGACCTACAACAGACCACAACCAGGACGCTTATAAAAGCATGACAAATAGAAAGAAGTCAGGATTTAGCATAAAGAGTAACTGCTATTCATGCCCAGCAGCTGAGGCAGGAACGCAGGCTATCGCAAGCAATAGCCCAACCACTCCAGCAGCTTCTAGCCGTGGGCTCTGCTGGTTATCAACGAGGGATTCAGCATGGATTTTGTAATGAAGGAGGGAGCCCAAGACTGAGTTAGGAACAGCCTGTTCCTCTCTCGGGAGACCTCCATCAACCGGGCAAAAATTCAAAACACAGGCACTGTAGCCAAGATTCATTTCCACTGCCTTTCTAATGGCTGAAAAGAGAAAACACAAATTTGCTTTGAAGATCACAAATTCATCTTAGATTCAACTAATTACAACCCACACCCTTCTTACTAAAGGTTAAACAAAAGCGTCACAAAGTTAGCATGCAATAATTTTATAACATTTTGAAGGGCCCATAATCCCATGCCTCAGATTAACCCCTCTAACCCTGAGGCCACAGAACCAATTTAAGAAGAAGATGCTCAACCTGGGCTGATGTTGATCAGTGACGGCCTTCGGATGCTCATTCCTTCTCTACATACAAAGGAAGGGATGAAAGGTGGGCAGAAGGCGCATAAAAACAGAACATAAGAACGGCCATACTGGACCATTGGTCTATCCCAATTAGCCCAGTATCCTGTCTTCTGACAGTGGCCAGTGCCAGATGCTTCAGAAGGAATGAACAAAACAGGGCAATTATTGAGTGATCCATCCCATTGTCCAGTCCCAGCACCTGGCGGTCAGAGGTTTAGGGATACCCAGAGCATGGGACTGCAATCCTGACCATCTTGGCTAAAAGTCATCGATGGACCTAGCCTCCATATCTAATTCTTTTTTGAACCTAGTTATACTTTTGGCCTTCACAACATGCCCTGGCAACAGGGTGATGGGGCATTGTGTGAAGAGGTACTTCCTTATGGTTGTTTTAAGCCTGCTGCCTATTAATTTCATTGGGTGACCCCTGGCTCGTGTGTTATGTGAAGGGGTAAACAACACTTCCTTATTTACTTTCTCCACACCATTCATGATTATATAGACCTTTATCATATCCCCCTTTGTCATCTCCTTACCAAGCAGAACAATCCCAGTCTTTATAATCTCTCCCCATATGGAAGCTGTTCCATACCCCTAATCATTTTGTTGCCCTTCTCTGTACTTTTAAAAAATTCTAATATATCTTTTTTGAGATAGGGCGACCAGATCTGCATTCAGTATTCAAGGTGTGGGCATACCATGGATTTATACAGTGGCATTATGATATTTTCTGTCTTATTATCTATCCCTTTCCTAATGTTCCTAACATTCTCTTAGCCTTTTTGACTGCCGCTGCACATTGAGATGTTTTCAGAAAACTATCCACAATGACTCCAAGATTGCTATCTTGAGTGGCAACAGCTAATTTAGACCTCATTGTTTTGTATGTATACTTGGGATTATATTTTCCAATGAGCATTACTTTGCACTTATCAACGTTGAATTTCATCTGCCACTGTATTGCCCAGTGACCCAGTTTTGTGAGATCGCATTGTAACTCTTCACAGTCAGCTTTGGACTTAATTATCTTAAGTGATTGTGTATCATTTCCAAACTTTGCCACCTCACTGTTTACCCCTTTTTCCAGATCATTTATGAATATGTTGAACAGCACAGGCCGCAGGACAGATCCTGGAGGGACCCTTGCTATTTACCACTCTCCATTGTGAAAACTGACCATTTATTCCTACCCTTTGCTTCCTGTCTTTTAACTAGTTACTAACCCATGTGAGGATCTTCCCTCTCATCTCATGAGTGCTTATGTTACTTAAGAGTCTTTGGACCGTACCCAGATTCGGAAGGGAACAACGAGAGATCCTGCTGGTGGATTATTCTCCAGTAAATGGAAGGGGTCACATTTTCTTTCAGGAAGAAGGGTGCGACATTTGGAATTAGGCTCTTCAAGGAGATGTACAACCCCTCAACTGGAGAAGCACAAAAGAACCAGTGGCTCCCTGATACTATAACTGTATAGCTTCTAATGATAGATTTCGTCTCATGGAGTTAAGTGGATTTAAAAAGAGGAGCACACAGGGTGGTTTTGCTCAGAACTTGCTGGAACATGTCCAAGACAAATATTAATTAACAAAAGAACTGGTAGGAACCTAATGTGGCTTAGGAAGTCACCACTTCCTTTGCAGCTGGCAATGGGGGTGTATGGAGATAGGTTTCTTTGTGTTATGATCTAGTCTTTGGCCCTTTTGATGAAAAATGTTCTCTAAGCGTCACCACTTGCATGGGACCCCTTGGACTCTGCAGGATGGTCCAGTGGTTAGG